CCCCCCCCCCCAATATCCACCGAACCGAAGAGGCCTTTTTTGTTTGAATCAAACATACAATTTAGTTTAATTCATGTACATGTATGCGGCCTCTTCCTTGCGTCATTTTGTATATATATATACGGTTAGATGCAAAATTATGTATATATTACACATGTACATGTTCGTCTATTTTGAGAAATCCTCTAGATCCATATAGGATTCGGAAGCACATTTGCTCGGACTTGGTTGCGAATGTCTTACGCCGCCGCAATTGAGCATTCATTCTTCACAGTTGAGAGGGCTTAGAGTTATTACGGATATGGACACTCCCTTAGCGAAATGGTTTTCACTGCTTATGCGGCCGCACTAGGGGGAGGGAGAGCGCATGTATTTAAGGGCTCCAAGGAACTGTACGTAGTCTCGGGGTAGAGGTCCTATAGAGTCGTACCGGATAGAACACGGTTATGCAGGTTCCATGTGGGGAATGGGAGTGAATACTATGGTATTGACTTCTGCCAGGGCCCAGCCATGTTTTCGGACTTGCGCTGCTCAAAACCCAAAAGCCTGACATCCAGAACAAAGCAAGGTCCAAAGCCTAATGCCTCCCTGGACGAGCTGCAGGGGCACGGTCCCAATTGCAAAGTTCAGCGTCCTAGGGGTAACCAGGCCTGCAACAAAGCCCATGCTGAAAGCTCTGCGATTGGGGCTTGAGCCGCGACTTCACCTTCATAAGCCATGAATGCATGTCTTCAATCTGCAGATCTAAATGCCTAAATGCCCTCAGAAAGCCTGTACAGGCTACCCAAGGTCATGAGCAACACGCTAGTGTGTGAAGGGCGTCCCATGCAACCTGCAGGAGTTGCCCTTTCTCGGGCCCCACATCCCACCTCGGCAAAGGACACCCAGGCATAAGCGGCCGGACCGCCTGAGCTTTTCTTCCAGTAAGACGTGGGGACTTCACCGTCCTGGCAGGCCCATAAAGGTTACGCAATGAAGATGAGACATCCGTTGCTGCACCCCAGGAATCATCATGTGCTACAAAAGCCCTATGTCAGGTTTATCTGCTGCTGCGAGGAAGATGGTTCGAGTTCTGATTGGGCGGATTCAGCCATTAGCAGAGGCGGGTTACCAAAGAGCTTAGATCCGACTGCATGCCCTAGACCCTATATAATATTATAGGGAGTCTACAGGGGATACATAGGATATTGGGGTTGTAGGGGATATACAGAGATATGGGAGAATCAAAAGCAACAGAAAACGGAGATTGAAATGGAAGCTTGGATGGTATAGCTCCCTATTGATGAATCCTACATCCCCTTTAAGCATTTGGGCCAGGAGGCATGCTAAGCGCCAGCGAGGCCAGTAGTCCCAGCAAAAGCCTGAGCCTCCTCATCAAAGCTGGCATGGCATCCCTGTAGCCCAGGAAAGACACAGTGGCCTATGGGCCGGGTTTAAAGGGCAGGGTACCCTGAAGACAGTAGTGGCACAGGGGACTTCAGTGTGGTCATAGAAGATGTCGAAAAACTTCCGACTGCCCTCCACAGTTACCAGGAGTTGATTCGGCGTCCCGGAGTGGATGACTTACTTGGGGGCGGGCCGGGCCGGGGCGTGTTGTTTGAACATCTCTCAGCGCAGCTTCGCCGACATCATCTTGAGCGAGCGGCTGCAGGACAAAGATAAGCAAGCTTGAGTGACTATTCTACAGCTCTTCAGCGCTGTCGTCGCAAAATGCCATCCTCAGATAACCAACACTTTGAAAAAGCGTCGTCAGCAAAATTTCTGAGCTGCCGCAGTAATTGTGAAGTTTGAGATCCCAGTCTACAAGCCAGAAACCGCGCTCCATGCTGCAAAATCTGATATACGGCTCTTTTCTTGACATTCTGAACCGCGATTCTGAACTGCGATGTATGACTCGAAACTCAGAACCCCAATGCTGATTCCTGCAGTGCCTCACAGGCAAAAAGGATACAGCGTGAAGGAGGATGAGGCATGGAGGAAGACAACTCGCACTGAACAAAGGGAACATTTGCTTTCATCTCCTACCAAGCGGGCGGCGATGAAGCAAGCAGCCCAGTCTCCCTTGAACTGGCGCCACAACTCTAACGCAAGAATGGGGTGTCAGGTGCACCAGATAGCACCAGTCACACTTATCAAAGAAATTGACTAAACCCTTAACCCAGAACTGTAGATCCATTTTCGCTGGGGCCTGGGCAGAAGGACTTCCAGCCTCCAGGGCGAAGCTTCTCAAGAACACGCTCAACATCAAGAGACCCTGTTTCCTGTTGGTTGTTGTTGGAAGGGAGTGAGGGAATGGAAAAGATTAATAAATAGATTCAACATTACAACATGGTGGGGGATTATGTGTGGGTTAATGTGGGGATCCATTCCTGTATTCCCAAATTTTACATAGCAACCGCTAATTTTTGGCGTTCCGCGCAAAAACTTCCGCTTCATGTCAGTCTGTACCGCTGGGACCCTGATTTTTGAAGCTCACTATGTGAATTAAAAACGTCCTTACATCCCGTGGAGCCTGCCAGAAAACATGCAGCACAAGCCTTTCATGATACTCGCACGCGTCCACTTGGATAACTTCAAGCAGCTTAGACTATGTCTCCCGCAGTCTTTCTGGCAAACGTAAGCTGCAGATGAAAAATCCTTGCATGTCTCACAACTACACGCAGGATCGCTATTTTTTGAAGCCTTACAATCAGGATCTTCATTTCATCATAATTAATCATGACAAAGGCTGTCAGGAACTTTGATAACAGTGCCCTCACTTTTGAGAAACCTGCAATGTTGTGCCTGCATCGCGAGCCCTGCTGGCCGCTCGCCGTCGACTTTAGGTGCGAGCGGGGGCCAAGTGACAGCCTCCGCCGTGATTTGAGCGGTGTTATTGCCTCTACTACAGCACTAGTCTACGGACTCCACAAGACGGACCCTTGATTTCAGAAACCCCCTTTTGTGAAAGATAGGAATCTTGCAGGACAAAAGATAGGGTGTCAATATTTCATGCAAGAGTTTCTTGAAGCCTCTCAGGAAATATCTGGAAGGCTTTGACATAACTCCAGGATTGGACAATATGACGAACGGCACCGCTGCGCGTAATGCCTGGGATGCCGAGAAGCGTTGTGACACTTCTTGTGAAGGAACATTGCGACAGATCGGTTGCAGAGGAAGACTCAGAATTCCAGAAGCTTGTTTGCTGACACTCCCCCTGAGGCTCCCAACACCGAGACCTGAAGCTTGCTCCTTGATCTTTCCAGTGCCTTCCCCTTGCTGAAACCCGGGGCTTCCAAAATCAAGATTACACAGTCCGAGGCCGGAATGGGGCCCCAATAGACGCTCCCAGGTACTATGATCGTTCATGTTTGGACCTCCCAAAACGGGACAATGTGCCTTGGTTGCCATCAAGCCTGGGGCAGTGCTCACGCGCTGCAACGCCGGATTCTCCTGAAAGCGTGATCGGTTTGGCAAGCCACCGAGCGCTACGTATCAAAGCAAACATTCAGTATCGGGGACGCGGGGGAAATTGTTAGGCTTCTCCCAAACCCTACTGTTGCGAGGGAGTTCCCTTTTTCGATCTAGAACCTTTCTAGGATTTCAGGGTTAGGGCATGCAGGTCGACAGTCCGGGATTTCTGCCTTGAGGTTCCGGGGCGTTCCGAGAAAAGGATGCTAGCCATTTCAATCCCAGTTCGTTGCGGCGCCCTGAACCCATGAGACTCCTGCACGACGACGGAAGATTTAATTTGTGCAAGTCAACCTCCTTTAACACATGGCAAAATCAGAAACTCTGTCCAGCTTAGAGATGGTCCTGTATACTCCTGCTTGTTGGTGCCACAGGCCACTCCATCACCTATGTTATGCTGTTCTAACTGCTACTGGGTCCAGTTAGCAAACTCAACCATGCCCATGCGGCAGGTATTCACAGACCTTTCCCAGAAAGCTGCCGGGTGCATCTCAGCTTGGGATCAACCTTTCAGCTAGGGCACTAGGACGCAGCCTTCTCAAACAGGGCAACCCACGCGCCTTTCTGTGTCAATTTGGCTATTGCCCGCACCTGCCCCCATCCCGTCCTCAAGCTTCACGCAGGTGCCTGTTTGGTAGATCTCGCCGCTGCTGTTGCCTTGCCCGGAACGTGCTCGGCGGAGGCAAAACAGTCCAACTACAGGAACAGGACTCTAAGAGTCGCAGCAAAACAAATCACACTCGCAAGAGGCATGCGCGGGGGAAGAAGGATTGTACCTGGTCAGCTGTCGGGCAGGCGGGGCTGCGCCAAATCATTTGGAAAAGTATCGTGGACAAGGCAGTAGCCCAGCGGCTAATCAGAAAAACATACTCAGGCCCAACTGGTTCAAGATGACACGCTGTAGGCGTGCAGCAAAGCTTCAAAGCCGTCAAACAATGTCTTTCTGGCGCCATCTCACCCCTGCATTGTCTCGCCGTGCGGAGTCTTAAATCGCACGTACTCCCTTCAGCCTCCAACTTCCAAACAGAGAACCTGCATGTTCCAGAAGCTCCCTACCTGAACCTCAACAATAATTAGGTAAACTGTAGCCCAAAACTCCAGAAAAGGCTTTAGAAAACCTCTACATGCCTTATCGTGTTCGGGTAGGACCTCAAATCCAACTCTGTCCAGGAGCATTGCACCCGCGGCCGTGAGGGGATGAGATGAGGAGCTGGACCTGGTCTTTGCGGTTTCAATATGTTTAACATAGATTTTGCTGTCCGTGTGTACACATATACATACATAGACGCAGATAAACAAATGAATTACATACACACATACATACATACATACATACATACATACATACATACATACAGACAGACAGACAGACATACATGTATATATATATATATTCTTGACGCACGTGTGTATGGGTATCTCCAGGTATATCGAAGGCAGTGTATATGAGGTATTTGTCTAGGCGGGCGTCCCATCACATGCACCGAATACGTGGAGCCTCTTGTCTAGGGGCCCCTGGAAAGGAAACCGCAGATGACTGGAGAAATCCCTTTACATGTCCGATAGAAACCCCGTGTAACGACCTCAAGAGGCATCCTTACGTTTTTCCTCCAGTCCCTCTAAGATCGCTCCTCACAAGTGAAAAGACGTACTCCAAACCCTATAAACCCTAGACAGCACCCTAAAGGCTATAGACCGATGTGGAAGACCCTCGATTTCCAGGCACCTCTGGGATGGACGGGCTTCTGCCAAAGAGAGAGGCCTGCCAGTGGTATATGCTTTACTTATACGGAATTCCAGAAATAGGGGGCCCCGAGAAGTACCCCAGTATACTCTAGCCCTCTAGTCTAGGGTCTCCCCAAAGCGGCACCTGATTTTGGAAATCCCGCACATATAGGATTTAACACAGATCAAACATGATCAAAACGAGAAGGGGCTCTTTTCGTATCCATCAAGTCTAGCATGCCAAAAGGCGAGTAGAAGGTCTCCAAACTAAAGATCGAAGTCCAGTGGCTCTGGAGGAAGCACACGTACCAACTCCCAACCCTGCCCACGGCCACTAGCAATACCATTTTCATCAATTGCTATGACTACCTTCATTGCTCCTGCGCCCCAACTCAGTTTTCAGCGGTGCCTTGGGTGCGCAGGGACCTTTTCGTCAAGGTTGACGTCCAGGAGGCCGTAGCTAAAGCACTCGGGA